AACAAACTTGGGTCCATAGTTCCCCATGTCTTCCTTATGCATCGTGCACAATCGTGAACAATTTGAGGCCACCGCTACAAGGTGGCGCTCTTTAAAAGGAAAACGTTTATATCTCTGTATCGGCACGTGTGATTAAAACGAAACTTGGTATGATGCTTGCCCATGGCTCCCTGAGGCTCCCTAAAAAATGGACCTATACCCCAAACCCCACAGGAAGTCGGCCATTTTGATTTTTATTTTCACTTTTGGTGAACTTTTCGCCTTGTATTTGAACAAACTCCTCATAGGGGACTTATCGGATCTACTTCAAAATTGGACAGTACACTTAAAAAATGTTGCTGATTAAATCTTGTGCAATTTGTGACTGTACGTTGAAGGGCCTGTACGTGGCGTGCCGTCAAAGTAGGCCAGCTTGAATCATGCATGCTCACAAACATGCAGTACTTTGCATAAACACATAGTCAGAGAGGTTTGAAAACCTTACATGGCAAATTCTTCAAACACTGCCAACTGTATATGCGTACATGAATATATTTATATGGGTATATATATTCAAATAAACTGATTAAAAAACTGATTAAAATGTATTCATGTGCTGTTGCATACCTTGAAGCTGTTCAATCAGAGTCCAGGCCATTCGAGAACCTTGAGCGTCAAATACAACATGACCCTGAAAGAAAAAGACAGAATTTTAATGTTGTCCCCCCTTCATCTTTTACACCTCTCTCACTTTCTCTCTCTCTCTCTTTCTCTCTCTCTCTCTCTCTCTCTCTCATATTACTACCCAGAACTCTTAACCCCCCCTCACTTTCTACACCTCCTCCCTCCTCTGGGTTTACTTACTGAGACTCCTTCGAAGGAGCTGGTGTTCATGGCTCGGTAGATCTCAGCAGTGATAGCTCGGTTGTTGTAGTTGAAATCTTCGAGTCGGTGACCCTTGGCTTTTAAGGGCCCCACAGTCTTGTTGAGGGCCAGGGCTAGAGCCCACACAGCATCGTAGGCCAGTGGGGCCTCCTGGAAACCGCCTGTCTCCTCTGGATTTTTACCCCCAAGTTTAGACATCAGCTGGGCTAGAAACTCCTGAGAGGTCTGGAGAGGAGAGAATGTGGCGAGAGGATGGATGGATGTTCAGGCTGTTAAATTGGTACATCTGAATCAGTTGGTCTGAATTTGCTGGTTGCACATCACATTATTTACAGAGTGAATGGATTCAAACCATTGACAATATATATATAGCCTATTTCTCACTTGCTTTAGTTTATGCTCTCAATCTCTAGTTTCAGTCTTCTTCCATACAGCATGATGTTTATTTAGTAAATGATGGTCCTATTTAGAGTAAAATGTGTACTGTACTGTGACCAGTCAAACCTACCATTGTTTCCTCTACGGCACCTCTGCTGGCTGCAAAAAAAAAATATCATGCTGATGACCATAATGCCAAACTCGAGACTTCAAAATGGCATTCTGCAAACCAATGGGGCGGCTGTGGCTCAGAGGCAGAGCAGGTCGTCCCCAGTCGGAAGGTTGTTGGTTCGATCCCCGGCTCCTCCTGCCACATGTCGAGGTATCCTTGAGTATGAATGAGTTAGTTTCTGTTCAATGGACTTTGCCATCGCTGTGTGAAAGGGTGAATGTGGCACATAGTAGCTTTGAGTGGTCGAAAGACTATAAAGGCGCTATACAAGTACAGGTCCCTTTACCATTTACCAATGGGTGACGTCAAGATAGACACACTTGATTCAACACACAAAAAAAGATACAAAGGATTCTACAGAACTAACTTCAATATTACTCACCATGCCCTCCAAACACAATACTAAAATACTACCCATATTGGACTTTTCTAACTTGATGTCCAAAAATGGGACATTGTTTCTATCATTATGACAAAACTGTACTTACTGAAGTAACTACAATCCAAAAGGTCCAATGGTGCAACAAACACTATCAGTCAGAAGACTAAACAGGTTGTAAACAACAACACAAGCTTATTGAGCTCGTCTAAACCACTTCACCTGGATGTCAAACCAAAAGTGGCCGCGCTCTAATAATAAATTAATAACACAGAAAAACTATGGGTGCATGGTTAGAAAAAAAGATTTTACTTTGTTAAAGCTGCAAAATAACTTGTTTCCTGACAGTAGTACATGATATACATAATCAATGAAGAAAATTCAGGTTTCTCTGGCTAGTTCTAGTTCTCCTAATGGCATTTGCAAAAATCCAACAATCAAAAATCTTAAAAACCACTATCCCAAAGCGTCTTTCCATCTTTCTTGGCTCTTATTGGTTGTTTTTGTCCGCGCCCGATGGATTCTTCCACAAGGTTCTGTGCTTGGACCAGTTCTATTCACTTTATATATGCTTCCCTAAGGCAACATTATTATTGAAATCACTCAATTAACCTTCACTGCTTAGCCAGATGATATCCAGCTTTACCTGCATCGATCACAAAGCCCCGATGAAATTAATCAAGTTAGATAATGTTACCAAATGATCTTCAAGGAATACAAAACTCTGGCATGAGCTGCAATTTTCTGATGTTAGATCAGAAAAAACTGAAATCCTTGTACTTGGCCTCAAACACCTCCGAGACTCACTGTCTAAAGATAAAGTTACTCTAGATGGTATTACCTTGGCCTCCAGCACCACTGTCAGGAATCTTGGAGTTATGTTCGATCAGGATAAGTCCCACATAAAGCAAACCTCCTGGACTGCCTTTTTTCATTTACGTAACATTACAAAAATTAGACACATCCTGTCACAGATGGATGCAGAAAAACTAATCCATGCATTTGTTACTTCTAGGCTGGATTACTGCAACTCTTTATTATCAGGTTGCCCTAATAAGTTCATTAAGACGCTCCAATTAATCAAAAACGTCCTGTATTAGCTTCTCTGGACTGGCTCCCTGTAACATTCAGAATATAATGTAAACCTCCTCACCTACGAAGCTCTTCATGGTTAGGCCCTTACCCCACTAGAACACTGCGTTCTCTGAATGCAGGGCTACTTGTGGTTCCTATGGTCTCTAAAAGTAGAACAGAAGCCAGAGCCTTCAACTACCAAGCTCCTCTCCTGTGGAACCAGCTTCCAGTTTTGGTTTGAGAGGCAGACACCCTCTCCATATTTAAGAGTAGGCTTAAGACGTTCCTCTTTGATAAAGTTTATAGTTAGGGCTGACTCAGGTGAGTCCTGAACCCTCCCTTAGTCATGCTGCTATAGGTCTAGACTGCCAGGGGATTTCCCATGATGCACT